ATGCAATGAGGATGTGTTCAAATATACTTTTGTTAACAATGCAAACATTTTATATCAATTAGATCCATTCAAACAGCATCATTTTTTCTCAGTAGAGAGTTTAGCGATAAAGGCAAACCATCTCTTGGAGGATATTGAGATCTTTAGTGTATGTTTGGAGTCGCTGTTTTTCTGCAGATTGAAACAAATGAGATCTGTCACTGAAGGGATGTAGAGGTGGAAAAAGTAGGTGAGGTTTGCAAACACATTTGCAAGGAGTGGTGGCATAGAGTGAGTTGTAGGGTACAAAGAGGTCATCAGTTTGTTGGCGGGCTAACACAGACAGACAGGCAACCATCTGCACTCACATTTACCCCTCAGGACAATTTAGAATCACCAATTAATAAACCCTCACAATGTTCATATCTTTGGACTGTGGGAGGAAGCCAGAATACCAGGAGAGAAACCATAAAGAACATGCAAAAATCTAGATAGTGGATTCAAACCCAAGACCCTCTTGCTGTGAGGCAACAACTCTAACCACCACGCCACCATGCTGCCCCATATTTCCTCTTCAGTAAACATAAATGTTTTTGTCAACGTGTTCATCTGGGTACTGTTTTATATATTCCCATTTTTATACATGGGTTTATTTTTACTTAAAAATGTATTCTGCTTTCTGTTATTAACGGTTTAGTCTAATAACGGGGAAATGTTCTTGATCACATTACTAAAATCCAGTTAAAGGCTTCCCTTTTTAACACACTTCCCCAGTGAAAATGCTTCCCTACAATCATCATAACATGCTTAACTGCTCATTATGCAGAATGGCCTTATTGTTATTGTCCCTCTTGTTCTTATCTATTATGTTTTTGGATTTTAGTGCATTTTAGTGAAATAAAGTATGATTAAAAGAAGTGCATGGTAAGCTATAATGAAAAATGCATTTGTTCCTAACTATACTGCTTATTCACATGTAGTTAATAGTTTGTTTATTAAGCCAAGCAGAACAGTAGTTGTGGATTTGACCTTCTGCAGTTTGTTGCGAAATCAGTTTTACCCTGGTTCTTTTTATTCCTCGAGCATCCAGAGATGGCACCGGACTCAGTAGTCATTTTCACAAAATCTTTATTCATCTTTACTCATCTTCATTTAACCATGCACCTCTAGAAGGGAAGACGAGGCCAGTGCCCCTTTGCAAAAATCTTCACCCCTTTGTCTGTGAAACACAGTTTTATAGACGGGACCCCATCATAAAACCCCCTATGGTGTGCTGCAAACTCTGTCTGTGTCTATGTGCACGAGCACATGAATGCCTACATGTGCGCGTTCCCTCGTGTCTATGTGAGTGCTCGTGTGTGCCTGTGTGCGCATACCTGTGTGTATGTGTGAGTGCACATGAGTGAGTGTGCGTGTGGATGTGTGTGCGTGACAGTTAAAACACTGTGGGTGTAGGTACCTCCCTAGAGGTCATAAAACCCCTCTCCCTTCCAGACCACAGTTATAAATGTTGAGACCCCCACCCTAAAACATCCTCTGGGGAATTTCCACTCAGTGGGGGAGAGGTCTCCTACAATCTACTCCTAAGTTCACGACACAGTGAGGCCTTTATTACTTTAAGGGCAGTATCAATGTCTCTACAATAGTTCTACATTCTATGATAACACATTTCTAAACTCTAAATCAGCTAAATATTCTACAAGTCTGTCTTAATACGAGCATCACGTGACAGAGGGATGTTACAGTTTACGTCAGTGGGAGTGTCTAACCTGCATTATAAAATGTGTAACCTGCATGCTTGATTCAGCAGAGGGGAACGTGTGATAAGAAGCTGCTGAAGCTCTTCACTTGCTGAAGGTAAGTGACTGAAAAAAGGTTAAGTTCCTTTAAAGTCTTGAACTGAAACTTGACATTACCGCAGCCGGCAACAGAAAAATCTGAAGTTTAAGTAACCAAAGAATAAAAAGTCATGGTGACACTCTTCCTTGCAGATGTCGGGGATCACTCTGTGGCTGTCAGTTGGTATGTTTGTGTGGGGATTTGCTTCATGCTCCATCACATGTCCTGATGAGAGTCTTTGTCCAGATGACTGTACCTGCTGCAAGACTGCCCATGGATATAGCTGCTGTCTATATCCAAATGTAAGTCAGGTGTATTCACACACCAGTGTAGTACCTTAATTTGTGGTAGTCTTGTAGAAATTAGTTTTATTTGCTCTGCAGGCCATGTGCTGCGCCGACCTGCTCCACTGCTGCCCTTCGGGATATCGCTGTAACCTGGTTACCATGAATTGTGAGAAATTAGAGCAGCCGTGGCTGACCATACCCATGGTGAAGAAGGAGGCTGCGGAGAAACCAACCCCCCCTGAACTGCCTGGAACTCCACTCCAGGAGCTTAAAGAGAGCCACGTCCCAGATCAAATAAAGAGTTCAATGGTCTACTGTGACAGTTACACCTACTGTCCTGATGGCACTACCTGCTGCAGACACCCAAAAGGAGGCTGGTTCTGTTGTCCCTACTCTCCCGTGAGTCAGCCTAAATACTCTTGTGCAATAAGACACATGAATGTAATGAAATTCCTTTTATCTTCCACTAACATGAAATCAGCTGTCATCTGAACGTCTGCCGCTTTTAATTAAAAAGTGCTCCATTATTATTGTTCGAGAGACTAAAAGTGTTTCTTGTAGGGGAAATGTTGTCTCGATGGATACCACTGCTGTCCATTGGGACTGGACTGTGATCACACCTACACGTACTGTGTGAGAGACAAACTCGCATATTCCTTCCTCTATAAGCCAGCGCTGCCATCAGCACCTGCTTCTCCCATCCCACAGACAAAGGAAAGCAGTAGGAGGTAGGAAGTGCCACACTCTAACCTTCGTTTTGAAGAATATTCTAGGATAACGTCTCTGCACAACTCACCGTTCAGATATTTTAAACTTTCCACAGATGAATGAATATTTCACTTAGGTTCCTCGTGTGGAAAGAAACTCAAAGAAGCAACAAGTAACTCAGTTCATATCATTGTCAGCAGTACAGCAGTACAAAAGGTGACTTTATGGATAGGTAGGCAAGAGCCAGGTTTTACCACCCATAAGGGTCAACAAAACAGTGATCAGTATCACCATGTGTGAACAAAAATGTAAAAAAGAAAAAGTGTTTAATATTTATTTCCTTTTGGTCTAACAGGGGTAAAAACAATTTCAGGGCCGATGCCGCGTATAGATGAACGATCTCTGTGAGCATGAATGTAGCCACGGCCCTCCTCCTTCTCATGCAGAAAACTCGAGCCTACCCTTGGGACATCCTAGGATCACAGAAACATGCCTAAAATGTCCTGTGGCTATTTTTTTTTAAATAGTTTTTTCTTTTATAAGAGTTTCCTTTTACTATTATTATGGTCAGAAATCTGTTGAAATGCATTTTGCATCAAATTTGATATATAAACAGATCAATCTTGGAAAAAGACAGTTGCTGGACAAATGATCTGACATGTGCACAAGATTGTCTGTTTGTCTTTAGACTAATGGGTGTGCATAGTTGGCTGTTGCAATAGACAGTAACCAGTCCTTACAAACCAGCTTTGCAAGATTTCCTGCTGCCTGTGTAGCTGGATATCACTGAATGTAGACTAGAAAATAAAATATAAGACTGAATGATTTTTAATTGTCTTCATTGTGTCTTTGTCTGTTTGAATGTTTTCTATTTTGCCTCACCAATAAAGACCTGTTGTGACCTTTGTAAGTTGGGGGACAGAGCAGATTTTCTGTGTTTACCTGTATATGTGGCATAAATGTCGGACCCGACCACATAGTTCGTTCTTTTAACACTTTATTTCGGTTGCTATTTCCTCTTCTCTCTGCTGCAGCTTTTCAGCTGCCAGCCACACACACAACAACAACACCTCAGGTCCTGGCATACTCTTTTATGCAAGGGAGGCGTGATGAGCTGATGGAGTGTCAGCCTCCCCTGCTGCTGAGCCACAGTATAATTATGGGGAAACGCAGAAGCTGATGGACCAAAAAAAGTGCCTTCAACAAAAAGGAATTACAGTGCTTAATAAATTTAAGTTGTAAGAACAAGACAACACAAATATTTTTAAAAATCTGTAAAAGAAATTTTACTTTTTTTAATGGCTGAATTCACATTTGTATTCACAAAATTTGAAGCTGATGGACCTTCAAATGTTCAACCACAAACAAACTTTTTAATTATTCATTTATTTAGGTTCAAAAATTCAACCTGATGAGTAATTGCATATGAGGGTGGGAATGGCTGTTTGTATATGTGTGTGCCTGTATGTCTGTGTCTATATGTCAGGTTGGGTATCAGACGCCACCTCTCTAGGGACATCTCAGGCCTTCCATGGTATGGAGGCCTATCTCCCTCCACCACTCCCCCTGCCAGTGGCAGACGCCCTCAGACATCAGTGCATTGGTGGTTCTTTGTGTCCGGGGATGGGCGTCCAGGTACCCGCCGGCTCACTCCTGGTGGCTGCTTGTTGGGGTCTGGAGCCTGGGGCTCACTCTGGCCCCTTCGGGGGTGGGGTGCCCTCAGCCTCTCGGCCTGGGGCTCGGTCACTCTGGCACTCTGGCTCAGCTCTTTCTGGGATAGTGGCGCAGCTGCCCCTCTGTTGGTCTTCCTTGGTCTACTTTGCTCTTGGGGCCTCTGGATGTCTGGAGCCTTGATCTCCTCCATACCTGCTTCATGCCCAGGAGGACGGGGCTGTGGCTCCCCCACACCCTCTAGCAGATCATTACATAAAGGAACCTTTTAAATACAAGCGCGCTCACGCTCACAGGTGTACACACGGGTGCTCACACACACAAACTACACCCTTTTTGGCTGCTACCTCAAAGCACACTGTGCGCTGTCGATCTCTTGTGCTGCACAATAATGTTTAATATTTAGTATTTACTGTTATATTCACATAGATCATGGCGGTGATGTTGTTTATTATATTGCTCTCTTTTTCTATGCTTGTTTTCTCTTTTTCTTTCTCAACAGGTGATCCAGGTGATTGATATATGTATTTTTTGTCTGTTTGTTTTGTGGGTTTTTGTTTTTTGCTCTTTATCAACGTTCCTCTTCCCCGCTCTTTTTCTTTCCCTCTTTCTTTCTCCTGTTTCTTTCCCCAGTCAAGTCTGTCCCGTGTTCAGCAAATGAAAATAAAATAAACAAAGGTGAATCAAATAGACCAATACGGCAAGGCTGGGATGGTCCATTTGGTAAAGTAAATCCGCTGGGCATCTTTCTTTGCCTTTAGACAACAATTCTGATGGCAAAAGAGCCAAACGGGACAGGCAAAAAAAAAAAAAA